CCGTGCTGCGTATGCACCCCAGGTCCTTCTCCGAATGGCCTGCATGCACCCACTGGATTCCCTCCAGACACGTCACTGGAGCCCGCACGGCAGCGCTCTTCCCGGTAGCCAAAAAGTGGAAACAAGGAAGCTGGGCATCACCAGAAGAGTTTGGACACAAAATAGCCCGTCTACACAACTGAAGACTGAAACCCGACCCACTGCCTCAGTAACGGAGACTCGCCAGAAAAACACAGTGGATCAACTCAATGCCATCCAGTCGATGCCAACTTGCGGCAACCCCGTAGGGCAGAACTGCCAACACGGTAACTCTTTACAGGACTAGAAAGACTGTCTTTCTCCAGTGGAGCAGCTGGTGCCTTTGAACTGCTGACCTGGACGATCACAGCCCAACTCCTAACCGCTGCACCACCAGGTCTCCCGTGTGACCCTGAAAGAAAGAGTTCAACCGGCCCTTAGGGTTTCGTCAGTGGTCATCTTTTTAGGAGCAGACAGCCTCATCTTTCCCCGAAGGAGCAGTTAGTGGCCTCGAACCACCTTGAAAGCACCACAATGCGCGGAAGCAGTCTATCGCTGAAGGACACGCACTGCGTACACTGCCTGACCTCACTTCTGAGTTGAGCAGGCGCGTGGAAAGCAGCGGTGCGTAGCGGTTGTTCAGGTTAGGAGCAAAGGCGGAAGAAGGGAGGTTCTGCTTCGGGGTATGGACTTTATTCAGAGGTGGTGGGATGAGTTGGGAAAGGACTGTGGTACGTGGAAACACCGTTGAGAAGACAAGCTTCCTCATGGGCACTCTCACCTCACACAGTTGGAATCTTACCTGGAAGGCAGGAGAGGACGTAGGTGGTCCGGTCAGAGAGGCAAGGATGGGGCCATGACCCACTATGTCACCAGGGCTCTGGTGATCTCTACCGAGAGGTATGGTTAAGAATCCCTGGTGGCAAGTTAAGCATTGGGCTGCTAACCAGTCGGTGCTTCAAACCCACTCTTGGCTCCGCAAAGAAAGAGGAGACAGTTTGCTTCCCTGAAGATTTACAGCTTCAGAAACACTATCGGGTGGTTTAACTATGAAAGTATATGATATGTGATTATATCAAGAAGACTACTTCAAAAAAAACCAAAAAAAACCCTAACCTGGACCTCTGATTACCGTGGGTGAAGGAAGAAGGGTTTTTGCTTGGGGGCATTGAGCTCATTTTAATGGTGGTAGAACAATTTGGAGAGGGATAACAATCATGGTTGTACAACACGAGGAGTATAACCAATGGCACTGAACTGTACCTGTAGAAGCTGTCGGATTGGTGGATGTTTTACTGTGTATATTTTTGCCAAAATGTAAAAAGAATACATGAATAACAATGAGTATGGGAAAAAGAAAATGTTTTATAATTGACTATAAAGATCATAAAACTCTTGTCGATATGGTTGAACTATTGAATTGTATGATATGTGGACGAAGTGCCAATAAACCTTTTTAAAGAAAGAACAAACGAGTGGAACTTTATGGGCAGTTCTGTCCTTCACGGTCGCTGTGAGTTGGATCGATTGATGGCAAAGGCCTTTTTGTTTGTTTGGGTTGAGAGGTATTAGTACATTCCCATATTCGCCAAGGTTTCCACAATGTTATATTGTTATATTTCAAAAAACTATTTTGGAAGATATTCTAATAAGTAAATTGGAGAGCAATTAAAATATATAATAAGACATTATATCTGACCTCTCAGAGGAGCATGAATCATAAAATAGACCCTGTCCACGTGCAGCAGTAAAAGTATAAAGAAAACAGGTGCATCCATAAAGCAGAAATGAATTTTATTCATGGATACATACAGGTGTAGATTTAAAATAAAAGTTACAAAATAAGAGACACATTAAAAAGAATAAAGAGTGGATGGAAGAGCATTTTTCATATAATTGAAACCATTAATATAAAGTGTCATATGAGGGGATTTGGGTAATAAAAATTATATGATTATATCAAAAGATACTAATTCCTACTAAAAGCTGCTGGGACGTGATCTCCCTCCACGTTTAAAAAAAATGTTAAAGCCAACAAATAACTTCATATTGAATGAGGAAATAGCAGCTATCTTTTTCATCATGATATTTAATATAAAAATAAGAGCTACATTGAAAAATACAAACTTTGTATAGCTGTGATTTTATTCTTAGAAGGAAAACGAGTCTGTCATCTAAAAATGCCAGAGCAGAGACAATTCACCTAAAGAGAGATCCCTGGGGGCTTCAGAAAGTTCATGGAAAAAATCCCATTCTCTTCTCAACCCATTTCCCACCAACTTCATGAAGACCCCTCATTTTGAAAATAGCATTCTAATCCCCCACTGAGAAGCAATCCATCTCTAAAAATACCTACCAAAAAATTAATATGGGATATATAAGACCTACACAAAAACAAAGGCACATCGTAATGAAAGAAATGAAGAAACACCCCAGTAATGGGGAGACTTAATTCTTTGGTGGAAAGACCTGGTAGCACAGTGACACATGGCTGGGTGAGAGGAATCCATAGTGACAGGCAGTGATCGTGAGAGCGAAGTGTGTCTACATGAGGTATCCTATTTACGCTAGCACCAACGTGGGAGAGAGGCCTTGGGACAGGATCTGGATTTGAGCTGGCTGGCAACCAGGATGGCAAGGTGCCCAGGTGGCACAGTGGCTTAGGCGCTTGGCCGCTAATCCAAAGTCAGCAGTTCCCACCCACCAGTTGCTGCTCAGCAGAAAGATGAGGTTGTCGGTTTCCATGACGACGAGGAAGTGCCATGGACCAGTTCTCCTGTCCTTGAGGGTCATTATGAGTCAGAAGTGACCCGTTTTGGTTAAAACAAAAATACCCCTGGCAAAATGATAAAATGCCAATCATCACCATAAAATAGATAAGATTCATTTTAAAAAGATAGCACCAGGGCGAAGTCAGAGCTAGGAGAAAAGGAATAAAATATGCAATCATAAAGGCTTTCATGGTGGCGCTGTGGGTTAGGTGTTGGACATCCAACGGCAAGGTGTGCGGTTCAAACCCACCAGACCCTCTGAGGCAAAGACAAGGCTGTCTGCTCCCGTGAAGTTTCCCCGCCACGACAACCAGGCCACTCAGGTGGAACAGGCTCTGGTTGTGGCAGGTTTTGGTGAGGGGGAGGTTGACAACAAAAGGAACAGGTAACCTGAGCTGCGTGAGTCTCACAGCCCATTTAAGAGAAAACACAGCCCTTTCTCACATGCCGCTGCCGCATCGAAGATTGCATTTCACGATAAAATTTTCTCTGAATAAATTCAGCTTTCTCAGGAACTCAGGACCCTGGGCCTCTCTCTCACATGTTATATTCCTCGAATGTGACAGGAGGAGAATTTAGGCGGGGGGGTGGGTCTTGTATGCATTAACTCATTGGCCTTGGGGAGCGTTCTGACAGTGAACCCGGTGACGAGTGACACAAAGGTGAGGTAACCCGGATGAGGTAAGTATGGGTGAGGTCAGCCCAGAGCAAAGCTGGGTGAGAGCACCTGGATGCGCCGCAGGGCAGGCAGCGAGGCAGGTGGCAAGGGGAGAGGAGACAAGGAGGAGGAGAAGTCACAGGACAGCAGATGTCGGCTCCTAAGGAGCCCTAGTGACTGATGGTTAAGTGTCTGCCTGTTAGGGGAGAGGCCAGCGGTTCGACAGGGCACCACAGAGGTAGTCGTCTGGCTTGTAAAGAGTTCCAGCCCTGGAAACCTGGGGTCCAACCCTGTCCTCTCTGGTCTCTGTGAATCCGAACCAACTCCACTGCCAGGTCTGCTGGTGCCTCGTGAGCCATGGAAAGAGGAGTGGGTGGGTCCCACCAATCCAAGCGACAGCTGGGCCTTGGTGGACGGTCCACAGGAGGAGGAGCAGACAGACTGAGGTAGTAACATCTGTGACAGGCCGCTCAGTCTGTTCCGCCGTGCCGGCTGAGGATGGGGGCCACACAGTTGGACCCCAAGGGATAGGAAATGACTGGCTTCCTTTTAGGGCAATGGGAGAGCCTATTAGGGCCCAGGAGCCCAGGTGGTGCAATGGGATAAGCATTGGAGTGCTTACTACCAGGCTAGCGGTTCAAGTCCACCAGCCGCTCCAAGGGAGACCGGTGAAGTTCTTTGCTTCCGTAAAGATTTACCACCTCAGAAACCCTGGAACAGTTCGACCCTGACTTCCGTGGTCGCTGCGTCAGGCTAATCAAGGCCCTCTCACCCCAGGACAGGGATGGGTCCCAGGAAGGAGAAAAACTCACTGCCACTGCGTGGATGCCAACTCACAGCGACCCTATAGAACAAGGTAGAACTGCCCCTGTGGGTCTCTGAGACTATAACTCTTTATGGGAGTAGAAAGCCCCACCTTTCTCCCAGGGAGTGGCCGGTGGTTTTGAACTGCTGACCTTGGGGTTAGCAGTCCGTCGCAGCACGACTATGCTGCCACATCAACGAGAAACACATGTGAAAAGATGGTGTCATCCGAGCGCCTGTAGGCTAAGGAAAAGCACAGTTGGAAATTCAATATCGCCACCGACCGTGCAAAGTCCGTGCAGCTGAGGTCAAGGGGCCTATGCTCTGTCACCATGACAACCATGCAGATGAGAGGGCAGGACGGTGTTGACAGGCCACAGAGCAACGTGCACAGAAACCCGGCCCTGGGCTGCAAGAGATGCCTCCCCTGGGCTTGCCCTAATCACAAAGCCCATCTGGACCCAGGGTCCCAGCTCTCTCCACTCATCCTCACCCCCGCCCCCATCCCCAACCAAACATCATCTCTAATTCTCACACTCACCTGTGAAGAAAGAATTCTCAGGGCCAAGTCCAAAGCAAACCCACTGCTCTCGAGTTGTAATGGACTCATGAGACCCTGTAGGACACAGCCAAAACTGCCCCCTAGGGTTTCCGAGGCTGTCTTACTGATGTGTTGAGCTCCCAACCCCAAGGTCAGCAGTTCGAAACCACCAGCTCTACTCCCATAAAGAGTTATAATCTTGGAAATCCACAGGGGCAGTTCCACCCTGACCTGTAGGGCCACTGAGGGTCAGAATCGACTTAATGGCAGTGAGTTTGGTTTGGAAATCGTTACTGTAAGCAGCCGGCTACCTATGCCAACCTTGTGGTGATCACCCGAGCGTTCCGCCCCCTTGCCACCAGGACCCACGTTGGGAAAAGATGAAATGGGGACAATCCCAGCTCAAAACAAGCCTTGTCTTCAGACCCCTTCCAAACTGGGCCAGCGCCGTCTCATCTCAGCGACGCCCTTTCGGGTTCACTGGACCTCGCTCCTTGGCCGCAGGGGTGGAGACCGGGAGGCTGACCTGGGCAACCCCAGCTCCACGCGTGCCTTGTCTCCCAGGGCCCTGGTCAGGCGCAGCAGCAGAAATGGAACTGGCTGTAAAGAAGAGAGAGCCATGAGCTTCCCCGCTGACATCCCCTTCACCCTTGATCGGTCCAGCACACTGGGTCTGGAGACTATCTTCTGGGTAAGTAAATAAAATGCATCCGCAGCAATCACAAAGTCACAATTTCATGGTTAGGAGAAGCCCACTACACAAGCCCAGCTGGAGGCAAGGAGAGTCCCTAGACATGCTAGTAGGAAGAAAGGCCTGGCTAGCTACTTCTAAATACCAGCCAATGGAAAGGCCCTGGGAACACGATTCTACTCTGCCACACCTGGGGTCTCCACAACGGGAGTCACTGGTTGGCCTGTGATGCTGGCTGGCCTAAGCTTCCCAAGGGACAAAGTGGCATCCGCACAGAGCGTGCTCTCTCCCCTCCGCTCCGCGTGGCTGGCAGGGAGCTGCCCACCTGCACCCTCCAGCGTATTGTGCAGCACCGCGTGTTTGTACGAGGCGATGATCTGGAAGTTGACGACACTCGGAAGGTTCAGGCCCTGGTCCTCGATCACCTCCAGCGATGTGGCCTCGACCAGCTGGTGGGATCGCTTGCAGCTCTTCTGCTTGCACTGCCCCCGGATGAAGGCTCTGCACACGTGGACCTTGTGGCACTTGTCCTTGAGCTGGCAGTAGCCGTAGAGGGCTTCCCCTCTGTTATAGAGCAGGCAGACCTGGCACGGAAGTGAGGCACAATCACTTGTAAACTTCCGCTCTGCGTAAACTCTACCAGCACCTGCCACTGGGGCTCCACTGGACACCAAGTGGTATCTTCTGATCAGAGGCTGGAGCGCTGGTGGCATGGTGGGCTAAGCACAGGACTGCTTGCTCGTCACACGAGCTGCTCCGAGGCAGAAATAGGAGGCTGTCTGCTCCCGGAAAGATGGATGGTCTCCGAAACCCTAAGGAGCAATTCTACTCTGTCCTGCAGGGTTGCCCTGAAGTACAGTTGACTGGATGGCAGTGGGTTTGGTGGAATTGTTGAGTGATGCGAACATTTAACGTGTGCATCTGCTAACCGGAAGATTGGCAGTGTGAGTCTGTTAGGTAGACTAGCGTAGGACGGGGAATGTCCGTTAAGGCATGCCCAGAGGGTCAAGCTACGGGAACAAAGGAGTGGCGCACTGCACATGCCTAGAGGCTCAGGTTTCCCTTGGTAGGCATGGGTGGGTGTGAACCTGAATTGGCCCAGGTGAATTCAATTCAGCCAATGGGGTCGATCAGGGGTCGTCCACATGCCTCCCTGTGGAATCCTTGGAAAGGCAGAAGCCCTGAGTCGGGAGGGAGAACTTTGGCGCAGAGAGCTTTGGCAGGACTTTGGGACACTTTTGCGTGACACCGAGCAGCTTCAAGTCAGGCCGCATGTTCGGGAGGAGCCCCACGGGTGCTGAGTAAACCTGAAACTTCTTCTAACTCTCATAAAACTCACTTGGATCACGAACCCGGCTTCGGCGTGAATTCTCTCTCATGCAGTCAAGGACCGAGGTATAGATCTAGCTCCAGAGAGATCTAACAAGTCCACTCAGGGGCCTTTAAGAAATGCCTGGCAATGTGTTTCTGAAAGGGCCACAGCCTCGTGAGCCTTATAAAGCAGGTCTAATCTGCACACCAGGAGTGGCCATGAGTCCGAATCAATTCAGTGGCCGTGGTTCTCCCCACCCATGCTACCTGCGCGTCTTTAGTATAGAAGGCACCTTGGTGAAAGCACTTTCTGGCCAATAGAAAGGTTGGTGGTTCAAACCCACGAGCCACTCTGAGGGAGAAAGATGAGTCTGTCTGCTCCCATAAAGATGTGCAGCTCCAGAAGGCCACAGGGGCAGTTCTACTCTGACCTCTAGGATCAGAATCAATTGGGCAGCCGTGGGTGTGGTTTGGACCAAAGGCTGCTACAGCCACTGAGCAGAGAAGGCTGGCGGAGGGCAGGTAAACCAGTGCTGACAGGGCCCTGTCCCTTGCCTTCACCGCATGGATGCTGGGGACTGCCAGGGAGGTCCAAGCGCTGGTGGACCACCACAATCGGTGCATGGTTCCACACAGCAAGCCTGCCCCCCAGCCCCAATCTCCCCTGGGTCCAGGCAAGATCAGTCTCACCCCTT